GACAACATTGTATACCTTGATCTGGATATGTTCTTTTTGACAATGAATGCAACACCGTTCCTCTTCAATTTGCCATTCTGGGCATAGTACACCATGTGGTTGTCAGATAATTGGTATTTCTCTCCAGCTTTTTTATGTTGACAAGTATCAAACAAACCTTAGAAGAGTTGAAAGGATACTTCAGTGAAGACTCAAATGCGCCTCACCTAGATTCACCAGTTCACATTTTTACCATCTTTTCCTTTCTCCTCTACTTACCTGTCTGTGCTATGTATCTATACAGCCAGTCCTCATCATTTGCTAGAGTTACGTTGTAGAAAGTCAGTGTGAATACTGAATAAGCCAATATTTAACCACTGCTCCTAGGGGAAATGGAGAGTTGTGTTCTTTGAGTGTCTGACCATAACCTTTTTGTCAGTGGGTAAATACATAATCATATTGTATATGTGTTTCTGTTCAAAGACATCTTATTTAATATATAGTATTGCATCACTGACATGGAATTCAAGGCCAATGGTATTAACTCAATCCTGAAAGCGAACCTAACGCATGCTTTCTTCCTAAGGCACCCCTCAGCCTTCTCCTGAGTAGGACCACTGGACAGCACTTCAGCATTGTGCTTGGGGCCCATTTTACACAGCAGAATCATCAACAAGAAGTGCAAGAACATGAAAGATGTGTTAGTAAATAGACTTAGGAAATATACTGGTTTGCATTGCTTGACTTGACTGGGAATGAGCGCTTCAGGCTACTCAAATGTGTCACCACTCTGTGCTTGTTTTCAAATGACTGCAAAAGTGCCATAAGTACAGTGACCCTTTAACAACTTGGAAGTTAAGGGTGCCAGCCCCCTATGTAGATGAAATCTGTGTATAACAATTGATTTCTCAAAATGTAACTGATAGCCTCCAGTTGACTGGAAGTGTTGCTGATCACATAGACTGTCGATTCATACATAAGTTGTGTGCTCTAGGTATTACGTAAACAGCACTGGTGGCATAGTGGGTTACATGTTGGGCTACTAACCACAAGGTCAGCAGTTTGAGTCCACCAGGCACTCATGGGAGAAAGATGGGAATTTCTGCGCCTGTAAAGATTTACAGCCTCTGAAACCCTATGTAAAGTCACTATGAGTTGGAACCAACAACAGTGCAAACCACCACCACCACCAAAACTTGTAAAAAGTACAAGGTTTTCATGCCTGCTGATGTAGCTACAGCTATGGCTTCAGAAATTTCCTTTTTAAAAAAACCAACGATCCTTATGTTGGATTATTTATCTTGAAATTGCAGGCATCTGCAGATCTTAGTCTATGGTACATATCAAGAAACTCAACTTTTCTTGTAATGTTATAACATTATTTGTGCTTCTTGGGAGCACTCTCAG